AAAAAAAAAAACAGCTTCAGGTAATCAAACTTGAATAAAGTAGATGTAATTTAATCAGGTAGGAAAGTTACTTATAATAAGGCCACTTCTCATACACTTTTGAAACTGGATATCTTGGAGGCCACCGTCAGTGCAGTGTCTAGAAATAGGCCTTTTAAAAAAATTCTCCATGAGTCTTAACCTGCACACAGAAATTTTGAGAATTATGCAGCTAAGCAGTTGAAGATCTAGATAATTTCTTGTGTTGACCTGCTCAACTGTCATTGTTTCTGGTGTTTGTGAACTCTTAAATGTCCTTATTGGTGGTGGAGATGGGAGGGCTGGGTGTGAAGTCTCCTTCTCTGAGATTGTGTCATCTTAGTCCCTGATGCTTCCTGCATTTGTGAAGTTGTATAGGAAATTTCCCCCATACTACATGATACCCCTTCACATCTAAGATTTTCAGCATGTTCATAAAGAGGCTTATTTTTGTAAAACTATTAAAAGTTTTGCTTTTCTCAAGAGAACTTCTCATCTTTGAATTCAAGTTACTCTTTAAAAGTTATTGTTTTAAACCAAAAATTAGCAGATAATTGCCCTTAAAACTTATTTGTTATTACACACAAGATCAAGTTATTGCTACCAGTGTGGATTTAATTTTTGAAGGTAAAAGTTCCCTTTCAAAGTCTTTGACGTTGTGCTGTTTCCTTGCCCTGCTGTGAAGCTGTGAAGCACTGGTCTCTGATATATGTAGATTGTCTTTGTGATCTTTCCCTGGCAACATTTCCCGTGGGTCAGTGAGGACTGTTTGTAGCTTTCTGCTCTTGCTCTTTGTAGAAATGAATAGTGCAGACTTCAGAGACAGACTCGGGTCTGGGGCTTTGCCCAATATCTTCATTATCCCTTCTGTCTTTCCCCATTTCTTAAGTAGAGATAGTACATATTTATTTGCTTTGTTAGGATTATTGGTAGTATGAATAAAGTAGTGTATGGAAATTGCTCCTGTGTGGAACATTGTGATCTCTCAGAAAGTGTTAGTTGATGCTCACCTTCAGTTATTATCACTGACCTCTGGGATTTACCAGTAGGTAATGTCTTTATTCTTACGTATCATTTCAATCATATCTCCTCATATTTCATTCCCATAAAGGCTATGGATAAGACTAGTTTAAATTTGCAGTCACTAGTCTTGCACTCTAATTCTTTTTTAACATATCATTTTGAAATTAAGCTTACTAAAACCTTAAGTAGAATGTTCAATGTTGATATGATAGAATATTTGAACCTTTTAGTTTAACCCTTCCTAATTGTATGTATAAAATGGAGTATAATAGTATTTTTTTTTCCCTGCCTTATGTCTTTCTGAAAGTCTCCTTACTCAGGGCTGGGGGTTTAGCTTGGCAGACACATGCTAAGTATACTCAAGGGCCTGGATTCAAATGCCAGCACACGAGAAAAGTATTATCCAGGTCTTGCCGGTGCCTCCAGAACCTAATTTTGAACATGGATTAGGTGAGGTAATTATGTAAAAGTTCTGCATCACCTGTAAAGAACCAAATAAGTGATATTTGTTACTGATTCATTTAGATGTTGAGAATATAGAAGACTATTCTAATCCCATAATATTTTTTTCGTTTTCCTTCTAAATCTCTGATATGAACTTATTTGTGACATATCTTTCTTACTGAGGATGGGGATGGGAAAGCAGAAGGTAATAAGAAACTTTATTATAGTGCGATCATCTTTTTTTTGTCTTCCAGTCTAGTTTTAATGATCTAACTCAGGAGGAACAAAGCAAATTTTTAAGTTAACAAAATGGTTATTTACAAGCCATATTATTGAGTGTTGAGTCTTGTTGGTGTTGGCAGACTGTTCCCTACAGGCCACACAAGGCCTATATCCTGTTTTTGTATAGCCAGCAAGCTATGGATGGTTTTACATTCTTGAAAGGTAGATGTAAAGAAAAGAATTCTACCACCATAAATACTGTGTGTCACCTGCAACACCTCAGATACTTACTGTCTGGCCAGATAAGCAAACAAACAAAAGATTTGCTGACCCCATACCAAGTTACTGATTTCCATCCAGTTTGGAATCATGTTCTTATATATTTTTTAAAAATTTGGTAATACCTTTTACTTTTTAAAGCTATTATCAATGTATTATTTTTATATTAAATACTTTTTATGAATTGGAGATGTTTTATGGTTGTCTCCAAGATACTGAGAATATCTTGACATTTTAGCTTATGCTTTTTTGACCCTAGCTTTTGTTGCTACCTGTCTTGTTTTAGAGCCCTTATCTATGACCCTAATAGTGCTCTTTTCTGTCAGTAAACTGACTCCTCTGTCTTGGATATATTCTAATATATTTCTTCAGCTTTCTATTTATCCTATTCTTTAATTTGGATTTTGGGTTTCCCAACATATTTTGCTCCTCAAATTAATATTTTTCAGATCCTCAAAAGAAAGATTCAGAGACCAAGACTTAGCATCACGTGACAGAGACAGGAGTTCAAGAGACAGATCACCTCGTGACCGAGATCGAAAAGATAAGAAGCGGTCCTATGAGAGTGCTAATGGCAGATCAGAAGACAGGAGGAGCTCTGAAGAGCGCGAAGCAGGGGAGATCTAATTAGCTGTGTATATATCTTCAATCCTTAAGCTTCCTACGGAGTTACACACTATTGTTTAGTTTACAGCTGTTCAGGGTGACAGTGAGCAGTTCCAGACACTGATCCAGCCAGGCTAGATGTACAGTATCTAACTTGATCTGAACTGAACCTGTTTTCCTTGAGAAAGCCTAAAACTACATCCATAGTTTCTGGTGAACCTGTAATACAGTTCTGAGAGTGCAGTTTTTTATAATCCGACATTGATCTCTTTATTCTTTCAAGTAGGAGTGATAGTGAATGAATTGTGTTACTTGCCTTGGGATTTTTTGAACATTTGTAAGCCGCTGTCTTCCTTTCTACTCCAAACAGCAGCTTTGGGAATTTTTCTTTTTAATTCTTCTGTCTCTGACTTTTGTATCCCTTAATACCTGTACCCTCCAACTATAAGAGAAAGGGTCAGGGAAGCAATATAACTTCTGTTCTAAGGTTCTACTCCCATTAATTACTAGCTAATTACAGTTCAGAGCATTTATACTGGAATGTGTGCTGGAGAAATTAAAATACTGGGGTTTGTTGGATGGTGCCTATTTAGAGTTGGAAGTTGAACAGCTGTTGCATTATATACTTTTGCTTTTTTATTGAAGTTTTGAAATCAGACTTGTCTTGATTTTTCTGTTCCATCAAATTGCTATGTTCAGGATGTTCTGGGGGGGTGGGGGCAGGGACTCTTTCGTAATAAGCACTTGTTTTATTTTGTGTGTGTGGAGTATAAAGGCTACACCCTTATTGTAAAAAATATTAATAATAAAATGAAAGAAACAATCACCACCACCATCATTAAACTGTAACTTGTCTAGTAAATTGTTACTAGAACTATTTCCTGTGGGTATTTCCTCTATTCTGTCACATGGTTAACAGGGCCTTACTGTGCAAGGCACCAAAGGAAGTGAATATGAATTTGCAAAGATTACAGAGGAACTGTGAACAGTTCTGCCTACACCCTTGTTGACTGTACTCTACTACTTCAGGGCTGTTTGTAACAGCTGCTGTAGAGAAGGACTGAACCTGCAGAAATAATGGGGGAATTTCTTGGTTTTTTTTTTGTTTGTTTGTTTGTTTGTTTTTCTTATTCAACAAACCTGAATAAAACCAGTATGTAACCAACATAATGAAACCATCAGTTTCTGCATTAAAGAGCTATATACCGCCAGGTGTGATGGTGCATGCCTTAAACCCAACTACTCAAGAGACTGAGGCAGGACCATTCCAAGTTTGAGGCAGCATAGGCAATTTAGTTAGACCTTGTCTCAAAATAATGTATATATTTTAAAGAGGTAGGGATGTAGCTCGGTGGGAGAGTGCTTGCCTTGTGTGAGGCCCTGGGTTCGGTCTCCAGCACTGCCAATGGACAGTGTACCCACTAGTGACTTAAACATAGTTGACAGGTATCACTTGTAATTCTAGAAAGTGTGAGGAACACAGGAGCTGGGGTTGTGGCTCAGTGGTAGAGCACTTGCCTAGCACATATGAAGCGCTGGGTTTGATCCTCAGCACCACATAAAAAATAAAGTTTAAAAAAAAAGGCAAGAAATAACTTTTAAGACAAAGTATAAGGAAAAAAATACATTAACCAAAATTAGTGTCTGTGAATATAATTAAGATAACCTTTCAAGAGCTGTTTCTGTGTAAAGCTCGTTACATTTGACATGACAGGAATATGGGCCTCTGTGAATACGAGAGAACAGGAAACTAATGCCATTCTAAGTAATAATATTTTTATGTCAAAAAGGGACGTCAATGGGCCTGTGGTTGGCTCAGTGGTAGAGCGCTTGCCTAGCATGTGTGAGGCACTGGGTTTGATTCTCAGCACTGCTTATTTATATTATTATATAAATAAATGGATAAAATAAAGGTCTATCAACATCTTAAAAAAAAATAAGGAAAAAAAAAGGGGAGACATCAATGTTTCCAGTTTACCTAGTGATGCTTGAGGTTTCTTTGTTTAGTTTTACACGTTTGGTTATACAGAGTTTAGCCTGTATAAACCTATGTATGTCCATGGCTCATTTTCCCGCTTTCTACTTTAGGTTGCTTGTCTAAAGCCAAGCATGCATTAGACAAATAACTGGTTTGTGTCTGCTTTGTTCCCAGTGGCTTGTGGTATTCTCCTAAATCCTTACGATGTCTTTGAATTTAGTGTCTTGGGTATGAATGTAAGATCAGAGGGATTAACTGGTAGTGCAAGGAAATGTCTGGGACCTGACCTGTTAGAGTTGATGATGTATCTGGGGTTAGGTATTGAACTCTGAAATCATACTTTTAAAAATGTTTTGCATCCTAATTGTACAGAAGGAATCAAATAGTTGGAGAAGTAACACATGTCTCTATTAGCAGCTGTTACTATATTTGTGATTTGGGGAGAGGGGGGTAGTACAGGCCCCACAACAAACAGCTATTGATCGCCAGTGTTACGCCTCCACCGTGGATCACTTCAACTGCACGGTTCTTCATACAGATGATCCAGTTTAAAAAATCCTTTTCGGCTTTTAGATGACCAGTATACATTTTAAGTAAACATCCTTGAGACAGGTCAGTCACTCTGAATTAGAAGAACCCTAAACTCAGTATCTCTTCCCACCTACACACACTATTTGCTACTTCTGTGGTAGCTGGTGGCTGAAACAGAAAAGTTAAATGAAGTCCTATTTGACAAAAACCTTTGATCCTATAGGAGTAAAAACATGCCAAGTGTTTTTACCTTCAGCGGGTCCCTTCATTTCACTGCTGTGTTATATTCCCACAGAGCTCTTTTGATCTGTGCCGACAGCATCAACTGAAATAAAATCAAAAGGCCTCCATTGTTAAGTGGATTTGCTTTTTTCTGAGGTGTTTGTTTTACCTTTCTCAAGCCTTTAACCAAAGGTAACATCTTTTTCAAGTTCCTTTCTCTCTCCAAGTTGAGTATTTAAAATAATAATAGTTTTCAAGGTTGGCCTATTGAGCTACACAAAGCCAAGCATGCATTAGACAAATAACTTTTGCCTTGCAGTAAGTTCTCCTTTCAAAGTAGTTTTTAGGTAATGGGTCATCTATAACATGTAAGTTTTTTTCAAATTAGTACTAAATATAATTACTACTAGAATAAGAAATGTTTAAAGGGTTTTTTTTTTTTTTTTAATCGAAAGCCTAAGAAAATATAGCACAGTTTAAAAAAAATACACATTCTCTCAACTGGACATTCCATTGAGTTATGACTGTACTAGTTGTAAACCATTGAAACAGGTCTCTTCATCTGGTAGTCTCCTGTTTCCCTGAGTTTCTTGAGTGCCTCCCCTGACCCTAGGCCATTCTCCCATCTCAAGGGTAATGACTGTCACAGCCTGGAGCCTCCTCCATTTAAGTCATGCTGTCCTGACTTAAATGTTTTGAAAAACATGTATATTTAAAAAAAATTTTTTTAGTTGTAGATGGACACAATATTTTATTTATTTATTTTTATGTGTACTGAGGATCGAACCCAGTGCCACATGCATGCAAGGCAAGCACTCTACCATTGAGCTATAGCCGCAGCCCCAAGATAGATATTTATTTTGGTCTGAAAAAGCAAAAGCAGTGTGCATCATGATTTTATTATACCTCAACTTTTTTTTTTTTTTGTAATTGTAGATGGACAAAATGCCTTTATTCGTATTTTTATGTGATGCTAAGGATCAAACCCAGTGCCTCACACATGCTAGGCGAGCACTGTACCACTGAGCTTTAGACAGATGGGCCTTTATTTTATTCATTTATTTATATGCAGTGCTGAGAATCGAACCCAGTGCCTCACAAGTGCTAGGCAAGTGCTCTACAGGCAAGCTTTCAGTCCTAGCTCCTATACTTTAACTTTTGATCAGTAAAGTTTTCTTAGGTATAGATAAGGCAATATAAAATAGCACTTTTTCAAAATTTTTCATTTTCTTTGCCTGTTCGTATTTCAGAATTAATTCCTGCTTTGGGAATTAGGAAAGTGGAGATGCCCCACAGAACAGGGTTTTGTGGGCAGAGGCCAACACAGGGAATGGGGAAGGATAGTGGTCTACCAGAGGAATCATAGGTGGCAGGGTCTTGGGAAAACTGAGATTTCCAGGAGATGTTTCTGATCTCTGAGGTGCACTTATGTTTTCACCAGTTAGAGAGAAATATCTGTTAGAGGTTTGGGGATTGCAAGCATGTTTGGGGATCAGTCAAGCTAATTACCAGCACAATAGGATTTAGATTATAAACAACACATTGAGGCACCAGAACTAACAGAGCTCCAGGAGGTGGCGCCAGCACCAGAATTTGCTCTAACTCTCTTGAGGAGACTGGGTCCCAAATACAGTGCACTCCTGGCTATCTAACAGAAAATCTAACCCATATAGGCTTAAAATAATCAAGGGACTTCTGTTGGCTCATGTGATCAAGCTGCATATGCCACCTCCATCCACAGCAAGATTTCTTTCCTAGAAACCTCAGGCAGCCTTTTTCTACATCTCTGCCTGGCAGGACACCCACACAACAGTGGACGCTCAATAGATGTGGAATGAGTGGATGAAATGCTTCATCATTTCAAATGTGTCCTCATCTAGTTGATTTCATTTGATTGGCACAACTTTTGGTTAGTAGAGGAAGCAGTAGTCTGTTGTTTACAGGTATGATGGTTTTACTAAGGACAAAGCTGAGCTAATGAGAAGTCATGATAATTAGTATCTTTTTGATTCTGAGCCCCAGGTATAGGATAATGACAGGCCAGCTGGGAGAGGCCAGAAGGGAGCATCAGAAATGTCCAGATGGGGGAAAAGGGCCAATATGAATGAAGCAGAATGTACTATCCCATGTCCAAAACCCTTTGTTAGAGTTTGACTTGACTTTTACATTCTCTCTCAAGCTGAGAATGAGAAATGAAAAGCCCATAGTTATCCAAATTGGTAGGTATGTTTGAGTTAATAATTTTTAGCTTGCTAAAAAAGAATTATTTCCCCAGAAAGTATTCCTATCAAAAAAATGTTTATATTGAATCTAAACTTCAATTTACAAATGAATGAAATAAATCCAGAATGTGTCATTCTGTGAAGACAATCAGCCTGGTCTCTTCAAAAAGTCAAAATTCTGGGAGAGATAACCAGTAACAGTTCTTGAAATCTGATTGGGTCTGTTTTAAAAGGTCGTGGAAAAACTGCAGGACTCAGGTTATAGACAGAATATGAGCTTATTAATTTTTATTAAGTATTATGGTAGAATTGCAGTTACATCAAAGAAGTGTTAGGGGAGGCTTGCTAAAATAGGGATGACATGTCTTGATGTCTGCAACTTATTTTCAAATGGTTCAATTTTATATTCACAGTCACACAAAGAGCAAGCAGCAGAACATTAACAATATTTAGATCTGGGTAGAGAGCCTGTGGGAATTTGTTTTTTCCCCAAACTTTTCTGTATTTTGAAGTTTTTTACAAAATTGAGAGGAACTCTTTAAGATTTTCCATTTAAATCATCCTGTAAAGTGCTTTGTCCTGGCAGGAATAGATGTGGATGTTTTAGGCAAGTTTTCTCAGAACATGGTTTCTGAACATTCTGTATCAGAATCACAAAAAGAAAATGTATGAACCACCAGGGAGCACATTAAAAAAACAAAATGTTCAACATAAGTCATCATTGAAAATGTAAATTAAGACTACAATGAGAAGGGCTGGGGACGTGGCTCAGTGGTAGAGTGCTTCCCTAGTAGTGGATGTGAAAGGCCCTGGGTTCAGTCCCGCACCACACAAAAAAACCTACAGTGAGATACCACTGCACATCCACTGGAATGGCCCAAAGTAGATTGACAGCATTGAGTGTTGATGAAGATGTGGAGCAACCGGACTCCTATTTTGCTGAGGGGATTGAGAAATGATTCAGCTACTTCAGAAAGCAGTTTCTGGTAAATTAAGTATACTACATACTGCCCAGAAATCCTATTCCTAGGTGCCCAAGGAACATGAAAACCTCTGTTCACACAAAGGCTTATATTTGTTCAAAGTAACTGTATTCGCCCCAAACAGGAAATAACCAAAACATCCAACAATTATAGTAGATAAACAAATTGTATCCTTTTGAAGGGGAAGGCATTGATTCCACAGCAACATGAGTAGATCTTTAAAACATGCTGAACTGACGGAGCCAAACACCAAAGACTGCTTATTGTATGATTCTATTCATGTGAAATTCTAGACAGGCAAAGCTAGTTTATAGAGACAGAAAGTCGATTTGCCTGGGGCTGAAGGTCAGTGAGGCCGAAGAATTAACTGCTATAGGACTTAGAAAACTTCTTAGGGCATTAGAGATCTTCCATATCTTGCTGGGCGCAGTGGCAAACACCTGAAGTACCAGCAACTCTGTATTATCAGTTCACGGTTAGCATTGGCAATTAATAAGACCCTGTCTCAAAAAAGGGTTGGTGATGATGTAGTTCAGTGGTAAAAAGCCTCTAGGTTCAATCTCCAGTACAAAAAAACCCTCTTGATTGGCAAAGGTTATATGGTGTCAAAAGACGTTACTGAAATGTGCAAATTATGCCTCAATAAAGTTGATTTAATACATATATAGGTGTGCACACATACACTGGCTGACAATATGGGACCTTTTAGATCATTTCTCAAAGTGTGGTTTCTGGGACTGGGGTGTGTAGTGATAGAGCACTTGCTTCTTCCCTATGAGGCCCTAGATTCCATCCCAGGTACTGCCTCCCCAAAAGAAAAAGATCATCAGGCTTGGAGATGGTAAAAACCCGATTTTCAGTCTCCTTTGTCACCCTGATCTGTTGAGTCAGAACATAGGGTTTAGGGGACAGTGAACTACACGAGCTCAACCCAGGTGACTTCTTCAAGGCACATGTCCAGAGTTACTATCTGGGTTTCTTTGTGAGCTGCTGAGCCAGTTTGAGTCAGGCTGGCCTCCAGAGCTCTATGAAGAGCTGGGGTTGTGGCTGAGTGGTAGCCTAGCATGTATGAGGCCCTGGGTTCGAACTGCAGCACTGCAAATAAATACATAAATGAATGAGTAAATAAATGATGTCCATTGATTTTAAAAAAAAAGCTCTGGGGCTGGGGTTGTGGCTCAGCGGAAGAGTGCTCACCTAGCATGTATGAGGTTTGATCCTCAGCACCACATAAAAATAAATAAGTAAAAAAAAACAAAGATACTGTGTACAACTAAAATATTTTTTTTAAAAAACCGTTGTACTGTGTACAACTAAAATATTTTTTTAAAAAAACCGGGCGATGGCAACATTAGATGTGGGAAGTGCCTATGGGAAGAGACCAGAAAAGCTACTTGGAGAAACTCCATGTAGGCCAACCTGCTGTGTAACTTCTCCCACCCAGCTATACCACTTAGCATTTATCCCAAACGATGAAGTCATACTGTAGTGATGAATGCATACCCATGTTGATAGCAGCACCATTCACAGTAACCAAACCATGGAACCAGCCTCGGTGTCCATCATTGAATTGATAAAGGAAATGTGCTATATGTACACAAGAGAGTGTTATTCAGCCATAAAGAATAATAAAATTATGTCATTTGCAGGAAAATGGATGGAACTTGAGAACATTGTGTTAAGTGAAACAAGCCAACTTCTGTTTTGCAGAATTTTGAGAAATTTGAGAATTTACCTTAGAGTGTGCTTGCCCTTCATCTCAGAGCCCCTTGGATTTCATGTGGGCTTCTGGGCTGTTCTTGTTGCTTATGTTTTTCTTTTAAAACGGACTGCTGTGGCTCAGGAGGCTGAGGAAGAAGGATCACAAGTTTAAGGCCAGCCTCAGCAAGTTAGTGAGGCCCTAGCAAGTAGTAAGACCCCATCTCAAAATAAAAAATAGAAAAGGTTCGGAATGTGGCTCAGGGATAGAGTGCCCAGGGTTTAATCCCTGATATTAAAAGAGAAAGAGACTTGGCAGCCTGCTTCTGCTTTTTTTATTTTTTTAAATAAAAGCAAATATAAATCTGCTTTATAAAAGCAGAATATCAGTGACCAGGAGCTAGCATTTGAGGGCTGACAGACTCAATTTGAGCACCAAATCTGCCACTTATTAGCTGTGTGATGTGGGCAGTGTTAAGACTAAAGCCAGACCAATCACAGACTCCACATTGAGGAACTGGTCCCCTCATCTCCACCCATCACAAGGACAAGCAGGAGCTGGATGTGCTAACATCCCCAGGTTCACAGGTAAGGTCGTTGAAGTTTAAAGACGTCAAAAAGCCACTCAGGGAATCTTGATTGCGCTGGGGGATTTTAATCTGGTTCTGATGAACTAGTGCCAGCAATTCTGTTTTTACTGAGTTTATTCAAAGTAAAACGTAATATAGATGCCTAAAAATGCCTGTCTCTTTCAAAAGTAAAAAGCAACTGCTTTTTTGAGATGGAGTTGGCATACAATAAAATTTACCAATTCTGCGATGCCCAGTGTTTTGACAAATGTATCCCATTGTGTGACCCCACTGTAATTGTGATAAAGATTAGTCCCATCTCCCCAAAAGTTCTCCCCACAACCCTCTCCTCAGACCTCTGACTCCTAGTAACATGCATCTGCCCATGTGCTCTGGTTCTATCTTCTCTAGAACATTATATAAATGGAATTATCAAAACACACTCCTGAGCCAGGCGTGGTGGCACAAGACTTGAACCCCAGTGGCTCTGGAGGCTGAGACAGGATGGTGGCTTCAAAGCCAGCTTCAGCAGTGGTGAGGCACTAAGCAACTCGGTGGAATCCTATCTCTAAATAAAACACAAAATAGGGCTGGGGATGTGGCTCAGTGGTCGAGTGTCCCTGAGTTCAATCCCTAGTAATCCCTTCCTTTCCCCCGAATAAATGTACTCCTGGATCGCCGGGTCGTACATCCGTAACCCCAGTGGCTTGGGAGGCAGGAGAATCACGAGTTCAAAGCCAGCCTCAGCAATTTAGCAAGGCCCTAAGCAACTCAAGTGAGATCCTGTCTCTAAATAAAATACAAAGAAGGAATGGGGATGTGGCCCAGGGTTTAAGGGCCCCTGGGTTCAATCCCTGGTACCAAAACAAGCATACAAACAAACAAAACTGCACTCTTACATCTGGCTTTCTTCCTCCAATGTGATGTTTATGAAATTAATCTATGTTGCGTATCAGTAGTTAATTGTATTTTTTACATTTATTTTTTGTTTATTTGTTTTAATTAGTTACACATGACAGTACAATGACCTTGACATACCATACATTTGAATCAGATGGGATATAATTTCTCATTTTTCTGAGTGTACAGGTTGCAGAATCACATTGGTCATGCAGTCACATATATACACACAGTAATAATAATGTCTGTTTCATTGTACTATCCTTTCTACCCCCCCGCCCCCTCCCCTCTCCTCCCATCATGTCTCTCTACCTAATCTAAGGTTGCACAATTCTCACTGCTTTTTATATCCAAGTGGAATCCATTCCAAGGGTCGTACCACAGGGTTATCCATTCATAATTTGTGTGTGTGTGTGTGTGTGTGTATGTGTGTTTTCTGTGCAGTGTCCATCCACTATCTTCCAGCGTCTGCACTTTTAACCCCTGTTGTACCCTGCATACTGTTTCTTTTCCTTGAATCTCACCTGAGGTCTACAGGTAGGAACACAAGCATGGAAGATGCCATTGCTTTCTCTTCCTTTTACCTACTGTCCTTTTCAGGAAACTGACCCCTGCAGTCATATTATAGTGCAATGTGCAAGCTTTCCTTTTAATAACAGTGTGATTTCACTTTTGGTCACTCAGTTCCGTGGTCCAGAATTGGTATCCTAGACTACTTAAGTTGATCTGAATCCCAGCTTGTGACTAGAAGTTTCCAGCTCAGATTAGCTGTTCTCTTTGAGTTGAGGACCAGTAAGTTAGGAGCTTCTTGATGGACAGGTGACCACCACATTACTGAGGTGCAGATAAAGTGGGCCACCAGTCGAAAGAACTGCTGGGCATGGTGGCACACACCTGTAATCCCAGCGACTCATGAGGATTTCAAATTCAAGTCTCAGCAATTTAGCAAGTAAGTCCCTCAGTAACTCAGCAAGGCCCTGTCTCAAAAAATAAAATGGGCTGGGTATGTGGCTCAGTGGTGAAGCACCCCTGCGTTCATTTCTCAATACAATTTTTTAAAAAAGAAAAAGAATGACACACAAGAAGAGAAATCATCACTATAGTCACTTCTCCTTTCTGCTTAGGCTCCTTGGATTTGAACTCAAAACTCAAGGAGTCCAAACTGACCATTAATAGGTCATTGTGGGGATTGAGTATGCCAATGTTTAAACACCTTACATGGAACACACCCAAGCTGCCAGAAGTGTAGCTTTGATGTTCCTGTATGGATGATCTTCTCAGCTGGAAAGGCCAAGCATTGCTACTGGATGCCCATCTATTTCTAGGTGTCCTTGGAGTCCCACGGCTTCAATTGTATTGAGTGGGGAAATACCCCAGGGGTCAGAGCCAGCCTCTCTCCAAAGCAGAAATTGCCCACTGCTGGTCAAGCTTGACTTGACAGGGCTCAAGTACTCCTTAAAACCCTTCGAAGTAAGAAAGGATATCTGAGAGAAAAGAGACCATTGTTCAGAATCAGCTTATTCATCCATCTTCAGGATATTGGGGCTGATATTCCAAATTTCTTTTTATAAGAACATTAGTCGTATTGGATCAAGACCCACGCAAATGACCTCATTTTAATTTGATCATCTGCAAATACTTTATTTCCAAATGAGGGCATATGAGGGCATATGACAGGCACTGGAGTTGGGACTTCAACATTTTGAGAGGGGATCCAGTTCAACACACAAGAGCAGGCTCTGTCATAAATGCTGTCTTTATTAAGGACTCTCTTTGGGGCTGAGGACGTGGCTCAAGTGGTAGCGCGCTCGCCTGGCATGCGTGGGGCGCTGGGTTCGATCCTCTACAGCACATAAAAATTATTATAAAGATTTTTAAAAAAAAAACGCAGTGGTTTAAAAAAAGAAAAAAAAGGACTCTCTCATCTAGCTATCTGTAAACCATGCTGTGCAGATTGTTTCTAAGGATATTGACATCTCTGTATTTTTATGTTGATCAGAGCTGTCCCTGGCTTGCTGCTCCCTAAGCTAATGCCTGTGGACTGGTTGAAGCACACAGTAGGTGACTTCCGGTTTTGAAATGCCAGAAAAATGGAAAATGCAGCCTCCTCTGCCGCTGCTCTCCAGATCTACCCACAAGCAGCAGGGAAAACAGAAACTCAGACTGTAGCACCGATGAAACTAGGAGACATCTGCAACTCCTAACCACGGAAGCATGAGGAGAGGGTGCGGAAAGATGTGCATATTAAATAGGGGCATGGAAAGATGGCTGCAGATCTCAGAGGAGTCTCCGGTGGGCAGTTGGATGAGCAAAGGCCTGAGGCTGAAAGGGGGAGGTCTCGGGCAAGCCCTCTGTGCAGGAAGCAGTCTGTTGGTGAGGTTGGCCAGGGTGGAGGGCCACTGTGCACCACAAGCCTGCTCCTCATGATCTCAATTGACAGTGCAGAAGTGAAACCAGAGGACTTTGCTTCCACCAATCTTGGTGTCTTAGCAATATCTGCTGCCTGCAACGCAGCCCAGACCCTTTGTAACCATCAACGTCTCGCACACAGGTGGTTCTAGAATTGCTTCATTCAAAGATCACAAGTGGAGTGCTGGGGCACAGCTCATTGGTAGAGCAGCCCACCACTGCAAAATAAATGGAATAATAACAGAAATAATTGGAAAAGAGACAGAATGTATGCAACTGCAATTAAAAGGTGAAAGAAAATGGAAAAAGCAGATTGATAAAGTATATGCCTTTAGTAAAAGGTTGAGAAAGAGATGGGAGGTTTTACCAACATGGCTGTGGGGGCACAGCACTTACTGAACAATCAACCCTTATGGAAAAGGGTGTAAAAAGCAGTCTCACCCATCATTAGGAAAATGCAAATCACACCACACCCACAAGAAAGGCTAAAAGGAAAAAATACTGTGAGTGAGTAAGGATGGGATGGGGGGAAGCTGGAACGTTCATGTCCTGCTCCTGGGCGTCCAGATCAGAGAGGGGAGGAGAGCCTAATCCACATGTATCCCGTGGGCCACTCCTATATACCAATTCAAGTGCATAGATGTGTCCACCAAAAGACATGCTCATTACATAACTAGAAACACACCCAATGTCCACCAACACTACAACAGGTAAATAAAACAAAAAGGGCTGGGGATGCCGCTCAGTGGGAGGCTGCTTGCCGCACATGTGTAAGGACCTGACTTCAAACCCCAGCAACACACACACAAAGCGTGGGCGGAACTAGTGTGCAGCGCTGGAATCCAGAACAGCAGTTATCCTCGAGGTAAGCCATGAGCCAGAGCCTGCAGGAGAGGAAGCTTCCAGGGCATGAGTTAGTTGTATTTCTTGATTTGGTGGCTGCTTATGTTGATGAAAATTCATTGAGCTGTGTATTTATAACATGTATAAATGGTATGGAAACTATACATCAATAAAAAAGTAAGTTAACTTTAAAAGAAAATATATTAAGTGCCTATCAGATGTGCAAGATCTCAGAAAAAAGATGGTGAAACGATTGGGGTAAGGATTGGGGTGTAGAGCACTTGCCCAGAATGGATGAGACACTTGGTTCTGTCCCCAGCACTAGGGGAAGAAAGGGGGGCGGGGAGAAGGAAGGAAGGAAGGGCGTGAGATTGCAGAGCTAAGGAGAGAAATGAGAGATGGAAAAAAACCATCACAGACATGCAAGTCCTCTAGATGCAGCTCAACTGAAAACAAGTAATTCTAAAATCAAAAAAAAGAAGGCAAGAGAAAAGCAAAACCGTCAAGGTGGAGGAAAGTGACAGATATGGTAATTGCAAGGAAAAGTTTAAAACTAATAGACACAAGTGACAAGAAGTATTCCATAAGTGCTGCGCCCATGTAATTACTAATCCTGGAGGGAAAACCTGAAGTAATGGGGATAATATTGGAAAAAAAGAAGAAGCCAAGAGAAATTTCTAAAATGACCAGGATCAACATCCTGAAGAGGCGCTGTGGGGGGTAAGAACAGCCCTCCCCCTCTGCTCCCACACCACCATCTATACAGGCGACTTGTGTCACCAAAAGGTGTGGGGTCCTCTCCCCACAAGAAGCAAGCAGTCCTGCAGTGGACGCGAATCCAGTTCAGCCCTGACACCCTCTGCCTGGAGGAAGTGTCACAGCCCCAGCTTGAGGCCTCAGTCCCACAGGCTGTCCACCTTGGGTGCCAGGGGCAAGCCCCAGGTAGCTTCACCCCTGCTTGCAACTGGCTGCAAAGCGGGGTTCCCACACCCCCTCCTCGGGTTTCATGAATTGGCCAGCGGCTCCCAGAACACTGAACATTTCCCAGTTTATTTCAAAGGACATAAGGGGAAAGAAGTGCAGGGCACCGGGTCCCCAGGAACAAGTCACCCTCCAGGAACCTCCAGGCAGGCAGCTCTCCGGAAGCCGACTACGGTAGTTCATGAGAAGGAGCTAAAAGATACTGCTTAGTATAGAAAATTCAGGCCTGGGGCTGTAGCTCAGTGGCAGAGCACATGTGAGGCACTGGGTTCGATCCTCAGTTATCACATAAAAATAAAAGAAAGAAAGGCATCCTGTCTATGTACAACTACAAAAAGAAAATTCAGAATGTTCTCTCTGTAGCATGTAAATAGGTGTGCTATGGACGGAATTGGGTTCTCCCCAAAAGTCATCTGTTGAATTCCTACCCACCCACCCAGGGGATGGTTTTTGAAGATGGTACCCCTGCAGGTATTTAGGTCATGATGGTGGGCTCTCATGGTGGGATTGGCGCCCTAATAAGGAGAGGTACCGTGAAGCTTGCTTTCTCCATGTGAGGACAGAGCAAGAGGACAGTAATCTCAAAAGAGAGCCCTCACCAGGAACCGATCATAATGGCATCCTTATCTTGAACTCCCAGCCTCTGGAATTGTGAGAAAGTACATTTTTGTTGTTTCAGCCACCCCATCTGTGGCATTTTGTTAGAGCAGCGTGAGCAGATTCTACTACAATATAAAAGGGATCTCTACTACAGTGACATAAGCTCCCAAACTAGAAGACATGCCCTCAAGGCAAACATAGACCAACTAGCAGAGTATTTAGAATATAAAATGTGTAGTCAGAGCTATAACCAGACATTTCCTCTTATCCTTAAGTAAAAATGGATTAAATTCCAGTATTAAGTCTTTAAGATAAACTCATAAAGCAAAAACAATATAAATTGTATAGAAGAGATCAGATCCAGCCTGGCACAGTGGCACGTGCCTGTCATCCCAGTGACTCAGGAGGCTGGGGCAGGAAGATTCCAAGTTCAAGGCTGACTTTAGCAAATCAGTGAGACCCTCAGCAATTTCTGGGATGTAGCTTACAGTATCAAAACAAGAAATAACAGGGCAACACAACATTGCCCTGTCTGTTGCCAGGCTTAGCCTCAACAATTGCTGAAAACACTGGAGACAGAGAGGCGGGCCATTGACCCATGGTGAAGTGTTTTTATTGCAACGAGGAGGGGGGGGGGCTGAGGATATGCACTCACGGGCACAGACACTGGGGGACTCGGGCAAGCTTCTGCTGTCTGAAAGCCAGGGCTTGACCATCCAGAGCCAGTCCCAGGGATCAAGGACCATGTTGCACGGCCTCCCTAATCCAAGACCAGGCAGAAAAAGAGGGAATTCATGGCAATGTCATTTGCCCTACAACCCACGTGGAGAAGGACTTCTTGAAACATGGCCTCTTAAGGAACAAATTAATATATATATATATATATATATATATTTATATATATATATATTGCACTAAGGATTGAATCCAGGGGTACTTTATCACTGAGCTACATCCCCAGCCTCTTTTATTTTTTGAGAGAGTCTCGCTAAGTTGCTTAAGGCCTTGCAAAATTGCTAAGGCTAGCTTTGAGCTCGCGATCCTCCTGCCTCAGCCTCCTGAGCCCCTGGGGTTACAGGCGTGCACCACTGCACCCAGCCAAGTTAAATTTTGACAGGACTCCCCTCACTTTGAAATTGAGTTGTGTTTTGTTTTGTTTTGTTTTTCTTGCTGAGGATCCAACCCAGAGCCCCAGGTAGGCCAAGTACATGCTCTACTACTGAGCTCTGCCCCTAGCCTGGGCTGTGGTTTTAATGGATGCCGCAGATCCTTGAATGAGGATCCTCTTTATGGGAGCAAAGTCAGCCTATGACCATCTGGTAGAGGCAAAAAGAGCCTTGCAGGCCATGTGACTGTGCAAACCATCAGACATGGCCTTAAGCCTGGACTCAGTTCCATAGAGAGCACCCTGATTTGGTGTTCCCTTTGTCCCACGGTGTTTGGACAGGCACGCTGAAAGGGATTCTGTTGGGCTGGGTTGGCATCCTCCCTCCCCTCAGATTGGGGACCACCAGGGCTCTGCACCTGGCCGCCACTCTTTTTTCCAAGGAAGGACCTGGAGCAGGCAGTGCCCCCAGACTATTGGGCACTGCCATGGCACTAGAAGGGTAGATCTCACCAGCACTACCAATGGTGGCATCTACAACCCCTCCCACACTGTGGGGAAAGGCCTGTGTAGCCTCCCTGGAAGATTCCCAGGACCGCTGAGGTCATACAGAAGTGCTGGGGGCTAGGATCGGTTAACACCATAGAGCGTGTATATTAGCCCCAATGTGTTTCTTTTCTTTCTTTTTTCTTCATTCATTTGTGCAAAGTTTGGGGTTAAACTGGGACCTTGTTCCTGCCAAGCAAGTGCCTGCCGAGCCACACCCCCGCCCTCCCAATGTGTTTCACTTTGTCTCTCCACTGTGAGCTTGGGCTGCCTCCTTCTGGGCTGGCTGTGTCATCCTGGGAGTGCATGGCTGTCCCTGGAGAATGTCCACCTGGCCTGGGCCCAGCACACAAACCCGTAGGCTGGGCTACGCACTGGTGAGTGAGTGGAGTGCTCTTATGCCCTTCAGCAGCCAAAGAGGGACTCCACGACAACAACTGGATCTTGTGCAAACCTGGGAAAGGGAACAGCCCATGGGAGCAGGCACCTCAGACACCTGTGACCTCACACACACAAATCTGTGTGATTGGGATGTGACACTGAGCAGCTGTGGATGCGATGCTGTTTTCCCTGATCATGTCCTGCAAGGCCAGGCACGGTGTGCACAGCTGTGGAGCTTGGGAGGCTGAGGCAGGAAGATCATGAATTCAAAGCCAGCCTCAGCAACTTTGCAATGCCCTAAGCAACTCAGAGAGACCTTGTCTGTAAATAAAATACAAACAAAGGCTGGGGATGTGACTCAGTGGTTAAGTGCCCCTGGGTTTAATCCTAGGTACAAAAAAAAAAAATGTCCTTCCGGGAGATAGCCACAAAGCCAGAACATTTCTGAAGCATATCATATCCACTGAACATGGTGGTGCACACCTGTGATCCTAGTGACTTGAGAGGCTGATGCAGGCAGATCGGGAGTTTGAGACCAGCCTCAGTAATTTAGCAGGTTCCTGTCTCGAAAAAGAAAAAAAAAGAAAAAGACTGGGGTGTAGCTCAGTGGAGAAGTACCCTAGGTTTAACTCCCATTACTGCCTAAAAATAAAGAATGTCACATTAGGCCAATGGGGGGTCATACTAGCAAGTGGAATGACTTGGAGTGGCCCACTCTCCGCTGCCTGCAGAGGCGTTGGGAATAACATATCCACACTAAAGAGACACCAAGAGACCTAGGCACCCTTCCAGCTGCCCAAGGCCAAGACCAGGGCACATTATGGGTTTGTCACACTGGGCTTGCAGGCCAGGGATGTGTTAGGTTGTCCCAACTGTAACCCACTGACTGTGTGGGCTACTTGGGCCTGGCTTCCCCTTGGGTGGCTTGGATGGTGCTTCCCCAAGGGGCACCACAGGATCTCGGAGCCACCCCTGTGGCCCTCAGGGAGCCATCAAGGGGTGTGAGGGAGTAGGGCTGTCTTAGAGGGCTCACTCACCGAGTCCTTGGGCGTCCAGAAGGCTCTATTGACATCACATAGAAGGCAGAAGCCTCTCGAATATTCGCCTCTGCACCTTTGACCCAGTGGAGTGCAGGTTGGAGCCTTGAACACAGGAAAAGCCACCACGAAGGAGCTGGGCAGAGGTGACAGCCGAGCAAGAGACACCGAGACACCGGGCCCTCTGAGGCCCGCAAGGTGGGTGTATCCCAAAGAAGCGACAGTCAGTCAACCCCTCCTTCATTTGTAGGAGCATTTACATCTCACCGATCACATGGGCCACGACGCCTGTGGCCTACAGTAAAATCATGGTTGGGGAGGGGTCCTTGGTGGAAAGTTCTACTAGTAGGCCTTGTAGGAATTGCGGCTCTGTTTTTATTTTAATTAATTTGTTTGGGTTTTTGGCGCTGGAAACAACCCAGTGCCTCGAGCGCTGCACTCCTCCTCTGAGCTACGCACCCCAGCGTCCTTTGGGGTCTTATCACGTGCACATGCTCACAGGGCAGTGGCTTTCCTTGCAGGGTTCCATCAAGTTAGGGTTTCAGACCGCCGCAAGTCCGCCCTTTCCAGAGGTTGAGGAAACATCGTGGCTGGGGTGATGTTACTGTCTAGGGGTGCCGGGTTCCTGGTCTCTGATCAGCAAAGAATTGAAGAAAGGAGAGGCTGGGGATATAGCTCAGTTGGTGGAGTGCTTGCCTCGCAGGCGCACAGCCATGGGTTCAACCCCCAGCACCACAGATAAAATAAAAATTGAACAGGACACAGATATAGCAAGCAAGAAGTAGATTTATTGAAGAGTTAGAGGTACAGAGATAGGCTTCTCTGAAGAGGAGAGGCCCCAGAGCCCGGAATCCGAGGGGGAGTTTGGGCCTGTTCTTTTCATGATCGCTGGAATTTCCTCCTTTCCTGTCTCCGCCCCTGTCCACATTCTCCTCACTGTTATTGACGGGTGCCCCCTGTGTCCATGTGTCTGGTTTAGTTTTTCTACTGGATTCCCCACTTAGGAGCGCGAGTACAGAAATGTCAAGCAGGAAGTGGATGTCATCAGAAGACCCTCTGCATGCTCCTCTGTTCTGGCCCTGCCCCTGACCTCCTCACTCGCCATCTTGGCCTGGCCGCCTAAGCCCTGGTATGGCCACCTCAGTGGGAGTATGAGGTCATAAGAGCCAGTCAGAGGGGTGGACTGTGGGCCTTCCTCCAGTTCCCCTGTCCTCATTTTCTGTGTCCTAACCCAAAACACGTGGAGCGCCTTGACAGCTCTGTGACCTGGTTGGCTGCATCTCTCCTGCAGGCCTGAGCCCTAGCCTGGGCCTTGGATTTCCCAGGCACTGGTAACGGGACTTCAGGTTGTTGTCTAAACACCAAAAAAACCCAACTGACCCTGAGCCCAGTGTCTTACGCCCTCCTGGAACTCCCTCCCTCCCCTACCCCAGGGGACAAGCATATGTAGGTAGGACGCCCTTCTCATGCTGACCTCCCCCAACACATACTCCCTCCAGCTGCCCTGGCCTGCAAGGCTTCCTGCTTTGGAACCGCAGCAGGCCCCATCTGGGGGCAGTTTGGGGCAGTCCCTTGTGGGAACTCTCCCATCTATGCAGTAACTATAGCTTTGGGTTCCATGGGGCAAAACAAATCATAAGAGGACAAATGTAGATTAAAAAAAGGTTCTAAATATTTTTTTTAGTTCACCAATCCATTTGGCAGTCGTCTGGTGAAGTCTGTAGATTCCCTCTTAAAACAATACTTCAAAATGCATAAAGCAAATCACGTAGGATTAAAAAGGAAGCCAGTTGTGTTGATAACTGGTTACAAAAATTCTTCTAAAAATTGTGATTCAGTTGAACGGTGTCCTGTTGCTGCTGTAACAAAAGAGTGTAAATGTAGTGGCTTAAACACACACACATACACGGGGCTGGGGATGTGGCTCAAGCGGTAGCGTGCTCGCTTGGCATGCGTGCAGCCCGGGTTCGATCCTCAGCACCACATACAAACAAAGATGTTGTGTCCACCTAAAACTAAAAAATTCTCTCTCTCTCCCTCTCTCACTCTCTCTTTAAAACACACACACACACACACACACACACACACACACACAATTTACTGTTGGGGACACCAGAAAGTCCAAAGTCAGTTTTCCCAAGTTATGATCAAGGTTTGGCTGCACTGTGTGAAGGCTGCAGCAAAGAACCTGTTTTTCATCCTCTCCAGCCTCTAGAAGCTGTATTCCTTAGCGGTGGCCCTTTCTTTTGTTGTCAAAGTCACAAGCATGACACCTTCAGGTATCCTTCATTCTGTGCTTGTGCTAGCAATTGTCCTCCTCTTATCTCTGACCCACCTGCTTCGCTTTATCATGATCCAATTGAGTCCACCTGGAGAATCCATCTCTCTAAATCACAACAGACCAGGATAGGAGAAAAGGATTTTTTCTTTTAAAGCAAAAGTTAATTAATCGTTTTTTAAAGGCATAGACAGAGGTTTATTTAGACAGTAGATAATACATTCAAGGGAGAATGTGGGTCATCTCCACCGGGAGAGACAACCAGCAAAATTCAAAAAGGAATAGTCTACAGTCAGCACAAGGCTCTTCAAGTTGGTCCTCAGTTCTTTGCCATAACCCTGGGGACACACGTTTCCCTGCTTGACCTGCCAAACTCTAGTGGCATTTAAACCACTCCAGATCTTAGGAAAAAAAAAAAGAAGTCCTAGATTCTATCAAGTGAATTTGGCATAACATTACAATCAAACTTTAACAGAGGAGCATTAGAAAGAGAAAACTTAAGATCAAATACATTTAAAATATTTCAGCAAAACTTTACCATGAAATTTTGGCAGATTAAATAGCATCATCAAGCGAGATTTATTCCAGAAATTAAAGGAAGATTTAATTTTAGGAACTCTTTCATTATAATCCATTGTATTAAAAGATCAAAAAAGAAAAAGGACGCGATCACTTTCAGAGATGCTGAAAAGATATCTGATAAAGGAAGCACAGGAAATAGTTTCTTTTTTTCTTCTTTTGTACCCTCACCAGGTGAAACATTAGCTTTAGTGAATTAGGCCAACGCAAGATTAGTCCATTTAAACCCAGAACTTTGAGGGGTGTTCCTCAGGGAAAGTTGGGACTAGAAAATGGCAGCCACGAGGATGATGACGAGGAAGCTTATTTTTTTTTTTTTTAGTTTCCTCACGCATGCCAGGCGAGCGCGCTACCGCCTGAGCCACATCCCCAGCCCCCACGAGGAAGCTTCTTGACCCCTGCTTGTATAGACGAGTTTCCACTCATATGACGCCCCAGGGCTGGGTCTCCTTTGGCAGGGGATTGGAACTTGGATGAACTTCATGGTCCCAAAACTTCCAACCTGAGAAATTAACATCAAAATTGCCCTGGACTTGCTGACATCCATGGAGTCCTTAGTATAAATCAATGCAAACCTGCACCGAAGGGGTGTTCTCATAACCCACTGGGCTAGAAATCCATATGGAATGGTAAGAACACTCTAAAGTTGAGCTCACAGTCAAGTGTGGTGGCGCACGCCTGTAATTCCAACTACTTGGGAGGCTGAAGCAGGAGGATCACAAGTTCAAGGCTGACTTGAGCAACTTAGTGAGACCCTGTCTCAAAATTAAAAATAAAAAATTAGGGCTGGGGTTGTAGCTCAGTGGTAGAGCTCTTGCCTAGCATGTGTGAGGCACTGGGTTTGATTCTCAGCACCACATATAAATAAATCTGAGGAAAATACTCAGAATGTATAAGAAATGAAAAGGTAGGAGACATAGAAGACATGCATAGAAAAAAAGATCCATCACAACTGCCATAGATTTTTTGACCTTTTCAGCACCATAGATTCCTTTTTAGAATTATTTACTTATTCATTCACTTAGTGGTCCTGAGGATTGAATCTAGGGGTGCTTTACCACTGAACTACATCTGTATTCCATTTTAAAAATTTTGAGTTTTGAGACAGGGTCTCAAGTTTGAGGCTGGCCTCAAACTTGTAATCCTCCTGCCTCAGCCTCTGGAGTTGCTGGGATTACAGGTAAGCAATACCATGCTTGGTGCAGAATTTTATATATATATAGTTTGGGGGAGGCCTGCTGGGGATTGAACTCAGGGACACTCAACCACTGAGCCACATCCTCAGCCCTATTTTGCATTTTATTTAGAGACAGGGTCTCACTGAGTTCCTTACCACCCTGCTGTTGCTGAGGATGGCTTTGAACCCACTATCCTCCTACCTCAGCCTCCCAAGCTGCTGGGATCACAAGTGTGCACCACTGCATCCAGCCAGAATTATATTTTAAAAAATTTTTTTTCAGAATTATACTTTTAAAGTATAAAATAAACATAAAAGTATGAAAAAACAATTATAGTGAAGTTCTATTACCAATATGCTTTAAACTTAACCTATTTTAAGTACAAATTACATATAAAATACATGCATTTTGAGTTTAGTCTGATTGTTTTAAAAATATTTTTTAGTTGTCAATAGACCTTATTTATTTATATGCGGTGCTAAGAATTGAACCTAGTGCCTCACACATGCTAGGCAAGCATCTACCACTGAGCCGCAACCCCAGTTCATTGTCTGACGAGTTTTGATAACTGTATATACTCATGTAATCACTACTAATCAAGGTTCCTGGACCCTTCTCATGCACCCCTGGAAAAGTCCTCACCAGGGAAACTTGTGATTTGCTTTATCACCATATATTAGGGATATTTGTAACATACTCTTCATACAAGAAAAAGCAGGTGAGGCGAACTACCAAGACTTCTTTGCATTAGTTTTGGACCCAACTACCTAATTTCTCTTGTTGGTCCTTATTTTCTGATAGTGTTGAGTTTTCCAGATAATCATGCCATCTGCAAATAATGGTCACTTTACGCTTTCCAATTGGTGCTCAAATTTCATTCTACCTTCTAACTGCCTTGACTTTTATCCTTGGGACAATATTAAACAGTAGTGACCATGGTCAATGTCTTTACTTTTTCTAATGGAAATAATTCTGTTTTCCAGTAAAGCATGAAGCTTGCCTTGGGTTTGTAATGTGTGTGTCATGTGTGTACATTTATATTTAAAGGGTTTTTCTTTTCTGTAAGCAAAGCTGCACATTAATAATTATCTGGTTGGACTCAAAAGTGCCACAGAACAGTTTTTATTTTAGAGCAAGACACAGAACAAACCATGACAGACCCAGGTTGAAAAAATACCACACACTTGGGCGAGGAAATTCTTTCTGATAAAAAGCAAGTCAAGGCTCTGTTTTTATACCAGAGGATGGTAGGTAAGGCCAAAAGTTCTTCAAGAGTTGGAGTCCATTTCTCTACTGCTTGAAGTTGGCTGGCCTTGTTTCTTATTTAGGCCAATAAAATATGGCACATGGGACCCTGAGAAACTTCCACTGCTGCCCTCAGGAGATCTAGCTCATTCTGTCTCATTTTGGGGAACAGGTCTTCTTAGAGCTGCCATTGCATGAGGAAGCCCAAGCAGCTGCATGGAGGAGGTACATATGCAGAAGTGCCAAGACTCCCGCTAGGAGGCAGCGTAATGCTTTAAGCCAAGTGAGTGGTTACTTTGGAACTTTTAGCCATCCAGGGGCTTGAGCCAATGCCACCTATAGCAAAAAATAACAGAAGCAGTGGGTGATCCTGAGTGTTAGTGGGTGATCCTGAGTGTTAGATAGCTCAGGATCTCCTCCCCTTGGTGGCCACTGACATCCTGGTTTTCTCCATAGTGTGTTGGAGAAGCAGGAGTGTGGCCTTTGGAGTCCACAGAACTGAGTTTTATTTTAAACTTTCTTCTTTCTGACTGAGTGAGCTGCCAGAATTTCCCAAGCAAATGGGAAATTTCCACCTCACTTTTTGTTGTTACTGCCCTAGAGTGGTGGGAGGTTCCACCCATTCAAGACTGTCCATCTCTTTCTCCCAGACAGCCCATAGCAGTTACTGGTTCAAATGCTCAAGAAAGGCTTTTCTGCCTGCGTGGTCTGACTTCAAGCAGAAACTGCTGGTTTGCACAGCATGATCACGTCACACACGTCGTGGCACTAAGACTCCAGTGGTTTGGGGAGGTGTAGACAGACTTGCAAGACTACACACTCTTCCAGCCCAGCCTCTCGCTCTCCCACTGGCCCAAAGGCCTTCACTGAACCCTAACATGTCTTCAAGGTGGTTGTCTCCTACAGCTTGGAAGAGCTGTCCCCAACCGGCCCACATTTCTCTGTGTTCTTTCCTCACTGGAGCAACATCCGCCTACCAAGCTGGGGAGCTCTCTTGGCCTTACTTACCCAGGAGGCCCATAGCTTCCTCCCAACCTGGGGCACTGGCTAGCTGGGGGCCCCCGCCAGCCCCACGTGCTAGACCTCCATACTGTCCACCAGCCTCTCCAGCTTGCAGGGTGGGGAAGGAAAGCTCCCCTGCCCTCCTCCAGGCCCGCCCACTTGTGTTCCTATGGCACTGTCACAGGCTGGTCACCTGTGTCAATGTACATCAGCTGCCTGGAAATGGAACCTGAGCAATGATGCCAAAGTCCCTTTGCCACAACACTTGCAAGACTCATGTCAGTGGGGTCAAGAGGGAACCCAGACTGGAATCATCTGTGGTTGTTGATTGGCTCCTTCCTCTGGGTCTGGAAGAGTGGGTGGGTGGTATGATGAAACTGGTCAGGGAAAGAAGGGAAAAGTCCATGTTAATGAAGGGTAAACTGAGGCCCAGACATGCTAGAAACCGTCCCCAGGTGATGGAACATATCAGCACCAGAAGCCGGAGACCAAAATTGGCACTTGACCTGAGGCCCAAGCAAATCTTCCCTTCAGATGGGGCCACTGTGCACTGGAAGTCCCAGTCCCTGGGGCTGGTGAAGAGGCTGCCCCCATCTCACCTTGGCCCCCAACAGGCTGGGCAAGATGAAACCCAAATCACTTGGTCTCCTTGGCACAGATCCAGGGTCTGGGAGAGCTGCAGTCTAGAGCCAGGAGCCGGCCTTCCTCCAGGACCCCGCAACTGAGATCTGGGTTGTCCTCACCCTCCTCTGGAAGTCTGGGAAGGGCGAGAGGGGAAAGCGGGAGACGGACGCTCAGGACATCAGGCCTCCTGGCTGGCATGGGCCCACCCAGCTGCGTGCCCAGTCCCTCCATGGACCCAGATACTGTGCAGGTCACTGCACAGAGGCAGGGGGCTGTCTGGAAAGGACACAAGGATGTCCCCTGTTGGTCAGCTGTGTGGCACTGGTGAACACCGAATGGCTCTGGCTCTAGACCTCCTATCTGTGAGATGGCAGCGACGGTCCTGCTTGGGTGAATGTGCTGGGGGACCCACAGGGGGGGTGGAGAAAAGGGAAAGAAACTGATACCAGGGTCCTGGGCATGAGGGGGGGTCTCCCTAGTGGCACTGCAGGCTGGGGCATGGGAAGATCCCGAACGGCAGAGGGGGAGGAAGCCCACGGTCACTCACAGCTGGGTTGGCAAAGGGGCCCCATCAGTCCAGTGCCAGCCCTGGGGGCCTCGCCGGGCCCCCACCCAGGAACGTTTGGTGATCTGGTATCGGCTCAGGAAGTCCTGGGGAGGAAAGCACACTGTCATTCTTCTTTGGACGTGGGCGTGGCCTACCAGGGTGCTTCCCTGAGGCTTCTGCAGAGGAGAGCCAGGTCAATCCCTTGCAGAGATTATGGTAATGATCAGAGCGGAACCGGATGCCTGGAGTTGCTGGATATGAGGGCCATCCCGTCACAGCCCTCGAAGGGGTGAGAACCACAGCCGCCACTCGGCAACGAGCATGGGCACAAAACTGCTCAGAGAGGACCTGCTCAGGATGGGAGGCCCTGAAGCACATCCAGGTAACCGCAAAAGCCTGGCGTGGCTGAGGCTCGGGCTGGCGATTGACTAAGCAGGAGGGGAGGCCGGGGAGCAGATTGCTACAAGTACCTTGCACGGGTTCAAGGCAGTAGTGGTCACTTAACACAAAGGTGCGTACAAAGGCCAAGGAGTCACGTGGGAAAAGCAGTATAGCTCATGAAATGAAAAAGCTGAGTCAGCTGGACACAGTGGCTCAGGCCTGTAATTCCAGGGTCTTTGGGAGGCTGAAGCAGGAGGATTGCAAATTAGAGGCCAGCCTCAGCAATTTAGCAAGATCATAATAAACAATAAAAAGGGCTGAGGATATAATTCAGTGGTAGGGCACCCTGGGTTCTATCCCCAGCACTGAAAAATTTTCAGAAAGCAAAAAAAAAAAAAAAAGGATCAAAACTGTGGCATGACTATAACAATAAAAAAATGTGTGCATGACATAGTCACCCAAAGAATGACAAAAAACAAAATCAGTGTGTTAGAGTAAAAAGGGAGACAGAGATCTTATTCAAAGACAACACAGTGCTGTTTAGACCAAAAAGAAAAAAAAGAACGACTCAAGTGCCCAGAAATCAGGAAACAACTAGGCAGATTAGGAGATATCAACATGATGGAAAATTACAGTGCTAAACCGATAACATGAGATCATGCTTAGTTGGGGGGGTGGAAAGCAGGGACCAAGGGTGTGGCTCAGTCACAGAGCACTTCCCTAGCATGTGGGGAGGCCCTGGTTTCCATCTCTAGCACTGTTAAAAAAACAAAGCAAAAAAACAGTAAGTAGCCAGGTGCCGTCGCACCATCTGTCATCTCAGTGAGTCGGGAAGCTGAGGTAGAATTGCAAGTTCAAAGCCAGCCTCAGCAACTTAGCAAGACCCTGCCTCAAAATAAAAAAAAAATAATAATAATAATAAGGGCTGAGGATGCTGCTCAGTGGTAAAATGTTCCTGGGTTCAATCCCCAGTGCCCAAAGTAAGTCAATGAATGAATGAATAAACAGATCGTACCAACAAATACATATCGCTGATGGCAAAGTCAAGAGGCATAAATTCACATTGACAGAGACTAGAAGTGGCCTAGTGTAACTTAATTTAAGCACCCGAGTTGTCCACAGTTGTACTCTGGATGCGCCTCACCTACCCTTCAGGTCTCAGGGTCAAGATGACTTCCTACAGGGCCACCAGGCTGATCCCTCCAAGGTGACTGGGTGATCCTCCCTCCCACGGCCTCCTATAACCTTCACAGCACAGAGCTGCCAGGCTGCTTTCTAAGGGCTTGCTCACTTGAGCTTGGTGAGAGCGGGGGACTTGTCGTACCCTGAGACCCAGCACACAGGAGGCCAGCTCAGCAAAACTGCCAACGATCAGTAGAGGCCACAGGTTCAGGCTGGACCACTATGGGCCCCGCAGGGGTCAGCGCAGAGCCATCTTCTGCCCCCTAGGGCCAGCACCAGAGGGTTATCAGCCAGGAGAGGAGCCAACAGCAGCTTCCAGGCTCTAACCTTGACCTTCAACCCCAAAGACCACGTGTGACCACGAGGAGCAGCGAGTGGTCAGACCAGGTGAAACCCAGCGGCAGGCTCCTCCTCTGCTGGACTCCACGGGCAGGGCTGTGGGAGGGAACCCTGGGGAGGGTAAGAAGGGCCCCCACGGTACTGTGGTGTGAGCTGGGGCTAAGCAGTCCCAAAGATTCTCCCTGTCTGGTCACACATCCGCCAGCTTCAGCCACCCACAGTGTCCCTTTGGGAAGGCACATCAGGGCTTGTCTGATGCCTGTCCCACGCTCAGACTGGGGCCATCACTGTGCGGAGAACTCTGGTGCCAGGACACCCCATCCTCAAATGCAGTCCCGTGACTTGTAAGTCATGTGTCAAGGCATTCAGCTTTTCGGAGCAGCAAGGTCCTCTGTGAACCCGGGGAGGCCGCATTATGAGGCTGAACATGTAAATCTAATGGCACATAGTACATACTCATTAAATGCCCTTGCAGCCATGAAATCTGTCCCTGTGGGGTGATGGGTAAAACCTTGTCCTCACTGCCAACAAATGTGACCTGGTTTGAAGTTTAGGGTCACCCATGTGGGATACGGGCTTGTTTTTTGTCCGAGTCCAGAGCCATCTGGTTCTCCTGCTCCTCCTCATTTTGCCTCCCGTTGACAGGAGCTGTCCCCGCCCACTCCACTCCAACTCTATTCCTTGCAGTTCCGAGTCCAGTTTCCATTGTTAGCAGAGATTACGGTGCAGGAAAGGAATTGTCCGGAGTTAAAAATAAATTCCAGGAACCAGTGAGTGATTGATGGCTTAAAGAAGTGCACTCTCACGAAGGTCGGGCAGATCCTGGGCCTCCGAGGCCTTAGGCTGCAGCTTCTCCAATTTTTACCACGAATGTGGACAGAGGGATAAAGTGGTAAAGGGCAGAATGGACTTGAAATCTGATGATTTACATCCTAAAATGAAGATGAATCATTTGCAATGCTTTCTTATATTTCTTTTTTAAATTTTTGTAATGAAATATGCCACATAATAAGAAAGCTACCATTTTTTTTTTTGTACCCGGGATTTAATTCAGGGGTACTCTAACACTGAGCCACCTGCCAGCCCTATTTTGTATTTTATTTAAAAGACAGGGTCTCACTGAGTTGCTTAGTTCACTGGCTTTGAACTCCTGTCTGGGCCTCCCAAATGCTGGGATTACAGGCATGTACCGCCGTGCCGGCTTGAAAATTACCATTTTAACCCTGTGTGTGTGTGTGTGTGTGTGTGTGTGTGTGTGTGTG